AAAATCAACAAGTCCAACTTGTAACGTAAGAAGAAGAATATTTATTTATAAGCAACTCTCTGGTAACGGAGAAGTGTAGACAACAGAGGACAATGTGGTAAACTTGGAAGTCGAGGAATTAGAAATACGTAGCAGCATTTAATGAAATCTATTGCAAAAATAAAAGAACGCAGACCGACAACACCACTCTAACTAATACTAAAACATACACAAAACTGAGGAGAAGATGGAGATCAAATACATGCTTAGTGCTGCATCAATCAGCAGTTTCCATGATGCATTGCTCTCATGAACCACAGTTTAATTCTCCAGCGGTAGCGAATTGGTCCCAGATAATAGAGCAGTCCCTCACGTCAAAGAAACATATTAACCACAAGCATCAACCAATCATAAGACAAACAGGATGCCATAGCAAAGCGGCAAAAGTGTCTCCGAGATATGAAGGGGTTTTTACATGACATTTTGAAAAGCCCGAACGAGATCGAGTTCTGGAGAAGAGTCTCCTGACAAGACCACCAGCCAGACCCATTCCACGAGAATTTCCAAGCAAAGTGCTCCCTGTTCTGATCGGCTGATAAATTTTCGCCAACTGCTAATAGTCAAGAGGAGAGGCTCGAGATTTGGAGGACTCCTCACTCCGATGTACTCGAGTCTCGACGACCTCTCCCTGATAAGCCAACTGGTACATTGATTCAGAGTGACTTGCGTTGTCCAAAAAGGACAAGGTTTGATTGTGTTGATGCAGGTGGAGGAGTGGGAGGGAAACCCCATGTGTTAGGTTCAAGGTGGCAGAGCTTTAGAGCTGGACCTGAGCACTGCCCATTTGTTGAAACCACAAAGTGAGGAGGAGGGCCTTCTGGACGTCTGCTTTTAGTTTCCTACACATGGCCTGCTGCGCTAGTCCTGGTTACTAAGCTTGTTTACGAGTGTAGGCACATTCCCTCAGCTCTCATGTCCGCTTCACATCTAATAAGCAATGAATGCTGCTCTCTCTCTCTCTCTCTCTCTCTCTCTCTCTGTGCTCTTTTGCTTTCATATATTTTGTCTTTGCATAATAAGGGAAGGAGTGAGACCAGTCGTGTGCTATCCATTGCAATAAAATGGTCGAGAGAGTACTTGCTGCAATTTCATCTTCTCTCTTCCACCTCGAGCGATGGTCAAATTTCAAGCTGCCATGCACGCAGAGACACTCTGGACAAATACACTCTTTAAGATGATAGGAGATGATGATGCCTGTAGGCTTACGCATGACTATTGGAGTACAAATTTCTTTGAACTATTTTTCTGTCAGAGAGCTGAAGTTGATAGGGAGGAATTATGACCATCGGTAAAGGAAATTGATATACTACTTTTGTGTGTTTCTGAAGTCATATTTCGTCGAATTGTATTATTCACCTAAAGAAGACAAAATTAGAATTCAGCATTTGATACATCTTAGTTGCAGAGAGAAGGAATGCTAAATGGGGCTTCCAAGGTGCCAATGTGATGATTGACATGGTAAAAGCCTTGTACAAACTGAATAAAGGGTGATCCTTTTCTCTGTAACAATAACCTCAAGCTGTGTGTCCCGGCTTCCCGTGATTCTCCATCGACAATGGTCTTCCAACCCGGTGCTTCAAAAGTTCATTCACTTGCCCATCATTTTGGCATATCAGGCATTGTAAGTATCAAAACTTAGAGATTCCCACAGTCGATAGACAGCACTGTTTGTTTGGCACCGTCCCAAAGAATTCCCATTTATTCCTTCAACATTTTGTGTAGGTAGTGCAAAAATGTTTGTATAGTTGTGTACATATTTGCAACTACAACAGTACTAACCTGACCCTCGGCTATTGGAACCTCGACATGTACATTGCAACAAGGACCAGACAGAGTATGCCCACCTCAGCATGGGGAAAAAAATCTGATGAGTTTGCCGCGACTTCAAACAGAGGCAGAAGCAAAGGTCTCAAGCTTGCTCTCAGAGGAAGTAATCTGGAGGTGGCTTTTTGGAAGGAATCCCTCTTGATTCCTGCATAGGAATGAATGCATGTCAACAACAAATCAAAATAGCAACAATTTTTTTAAGAATAACAAAATGTTCTCGATGCAAACTTGTGGTGCAGCTTCAAATACTTGGAACTGCTTATTCAGGCCCTCCTCCAGCTGAAGTATAGCTGCCACATTACCGCACCTAGAAGAATTCATTTAGATCGTCAGCTCTACAGAAACTACATTTTCTTCCAGTGAAGTTATACCAAGGCATTCAAGTGCAGCAGCCAGCCACATTTCTCAAAAACGATCAACTATGGAGGAAAAAGAAAAAAAAAAAAGTTTTTAAGTTCTTGATGTTTTTCTATGACCATATTAACTAACTTTACCATGAACAGTGACTGCTAATGACATTCCGTTGGTGCGGGCCAAATACAAGCTATCCATGAAAATTGTAAATACATATCACAATGATGTGATCCCAAAAGTCCTTGACAGAAGAAACAAGAAACTCCAGTTTTTTCAGTAAGAAATCAGTACTTGATTCATGGAGTAGCCCAGTATTCATCATTTTCATAAAGCAAGTCACAAGTAGTAAAGATGTGTAATGGAAATATGAAGAGGAAATGAATTAACTGCAGCTGTATCTACAAGTCTTTTACTATCTGCAGGCAGTCGAGTAAGCAAGCCTCTTCCCATGCTTAGCAATACCATCAGTGGTCCCAAGATGCCAACAGCTTGTTATGCTTGGAACTAGTACATTTCCAAACTTTTACTGGTATAGAGGACCAGACGTTCTATAAATTTGTAGTTCTCAAAAGATTTAACCAGACAGACATCAAACGGCTAGCCTCCATGGTTTACACAACATTTCTTTCCAGTCAATCTTGAAAGAAAGGTCAAGAGAAAACTAGCAAGAGACCTAACAAACAACTGAAAGATGACAAAAGAAATACCTGTAACAGTAATTAGGAGCAGACCAGACAGTTATAATCTGGTTGTTAAACATCCATTTGTATCCTTCCATAACCAACTGATGTGCACGACATATGTAATCGATATTATTTGAATGATTAAAGGACATAACAACATTCCCTCCGAACAAATAGCCTGCACCCCTGGGACTTATACCCCAGCCATCAACAGCATCTTCTGGATCTGACCATAGAAGATCACACATGCCTCCATCATGAGGAACCTCTTGCTTACGATCTATTGTTCGGATCTGTTGATCAGATAATTCTAAGAGCTTTAAATGGGAGAATAAACAAAACATATCAACCAACAGAAACATAATAGACCTGGTCTAAAGTTGTTATAGCAGGAGAAAGACCTCCATGGACACTAAAGATTTTGTTTTCAATAAGTGCTGACAGACTGCAAAACACAGAGAGAATTATAGATACAATCACCACATTAAGGAATCGCACTTTTCGAAAACTGTGACTTGAGAATAGAACAAAACATTAAGAAAATTACCTTAAGTAGTCAAAAATATCCGTGCAATATCGCCATACGTTTACTGATCCATACTTAAGGAGGCACTCATCATAGAATCCATATACCTGTTAAAAAGAAACAAATGTAGCATTTGTGGAAAAATTAAAAAAGAATTAAGGCAACTTCTACTCTTTAGATCCTTCACCTGTGTAATCTGCCGGCTTTCATGGTTTCCTCGAATAAGTGTTATGCGGTCTGGATACCTCACCTGCACAAATTTAGCAAAATGAATCAGAGTTATAAGAAAATCAATATCATGGACAGTTCAGCCAAAGAAGGGTAATAAACTGATCATGAATAGATAACTTAACCTCTACGGGTGTATGCTAATCTAAAGTCAAAAGAAAACATTGGCAACTGCATAATTACTAATTGAAGCAATGTGACCACGGGTAAAAAAGGTATATTGTCGGCATATTTACTGCCCAGCAAGCTCTATCCACAACAAGAGTGGTAACTTCCATAACAGGGAATGAAAGCAACATCTTTGAATCCTTGAGACCACAAATCACCCCAAGAAAACAAATCAAAGATTTCATCAAATAGCAAAACCACTCTACTTTCACCTTGTTGTCATGAAATTCCAACAAGGGCTGAAAAACAAGACCCCAGTATCACATCAATCGAAGCCAACCTTCTATTTTCACAGAAAGAAAATGTAATTTACCTTAGTAGATATATGAGATCATTCAATTTCAGAATGCAATACTCGAAATGGTAGCTTAGCTGCATTGACCGAATTCTACTAGATACAGTTAACTCTACCTTTGTCCTGCATTATTGGAGCTTCAACCATCGAGTTGCCTATCAACTAACCAAATTCTATTGTTTCATCGAGTGTATTTTACTTGAATTAGGCAGCCTGAGAATGTTGAAATAAGGGCTGATAAGAACCCTTCATCATTATGAGTCATGAGAGTTAGATATGTGTCCTTGTAGTGCTAGATAATGGCTCTATTTCATCAGGTTATGTGGCATTTGAAGGTGAAAGGATCACTATTATCATGGACACACAAAGCTATGAATCGAGGGCAGTTGGGACACACTTAATTACATATATTAACTAAGATATCCAAATATCATTGCAGAATTCAAATGACTATATTTTCAGAGGCAATCCATAATAAACTTTAGAGCCAACAAGAGTCTGTGGTTCTTCCATACATGGTAATAGTTCATTTGGTTCAATGTCTTGGTACATCATCCTGCCTGTATGTATGCTAAAGTTGTTGGTTAGTCAAGAAGGAAAGAAATATATACGTTATGCTCGTATCCAGTTTGAGGGATAGATTGGCAATATGCTTAAGAAACTGCAAAAAGGTTTTCATTAACCACAATAAATTATGGGCTATTGGGTTCACCAAGTGATTTACCCCTCATGTGACTTTCTTAAGCTCTTCAGATGAGGAATACAAAAGGAGAATGGAATAAGATTCAAAGGTATGTTAAAATTTACAGGAGTCCTAAAATATGAAAAAAATTGCTGTTCACAGATTCACAAGAAAGTTTGCACATAAAAAAACTTTAGAATCTTTATTATGGGAGTGCCACACTAGTATACCATTAATTGACTTCAAAAATATCCATTTACTGGAAAAGCGATAGTCTAGTTTGCTGAACTGTAGATCGCATGGATGGGTGGAACATGGATAAGATAAACAATAAGAAACAAATTGATGATAATAGATGCAGAAACATGTCCAGAAACAGACTCGGATTTCATCAAATTAAATGCCACGTCTAGGGGAATGCATCATGTAAGTTCCAAAAAACACAGAAGTTATTGCAAGGAAAACGCTTTGTGTTTTGTTTGCATAGAACCATCAAGATTTCTTATGTTAAGAATATTTGAATCCATCCAAACTTCCTCCTTACTCATCTGACCGAAGTTATCCAAAGAACGTATACCCAGATTCAAAAGAAACATCTTTCACATGATCATATTCATTCAGCAAATCTTCCAAATAGAAGATACTTTCCAAAGAACAAAGGGTAAAATGTCCAACCGTACAATGTGTCTCATCATCTTATAATCCTCCATGGTACCTACTTACACCATCTTCAGCTTTAAGACCCTTGTTTGGATGCATTGAACTTTAAGTGCTGAAAACACCAGTTCTTGGAAGATTTACAGACACTGGGCACCACCAACTCATAAAGGGTGCATACACAAGACAGAGAGGTACTGAATCCGGACCATGCAGAAAACAAGACATATGAACAGGTCATATAACCAGTTAGCAAATTATATTTATGAAATCTGTCATCCAATGAAAAGAGTAGCTACCTTCAACGCAAGCAGCAGCAGGAAGGTTTCAACTGAATAAAACCCACGATCAACAAAATCACCTAAAAACAAGTAATTGGTCTTTGGACATTCGCCGCCAACTTTAAATAATTCTTTCATGTCATAGAACTGCCCGTGAATGTCACCACATATCTGAGAACAAACAAGTCAGAGAGCATTAAGAAACTTCCATGCACTAAATAGGAAAATTTATGCAAAAGCTGCTTGCATGAACCAACCTAGACATACAAAATACAAGATTGAGAATATACAAATACATTAGAACATCATGTCTAATATAACGATAAACGATATGACAAATATATGAAGAAAAAAGATATGTATGTGGTATCATATATGCAAAGATTGACATGTATTTGGCATTAGAATTTAGAGCATTTAGTTACTTATCATGATACTTAAATGAAATTAGTCAATCAGTACACTTCACCAATTCATCATCAAAGCATTAATATCAGTAACACAGTACCTCCAGTGCATTTCCTCAGTCACATCCCACTGAGCCTTTTTCTTTTTCAGCTGATGCTCAATACAAATGTCACAAATTAACATATCTAACAATGAAATATACACAGTCCATATTAGATCAACTTCAAGTAGAAAAAAAAAAAGGTTTCCCAAAGATTTATCTAATAAGTATCCCTTGAACATACTAAAGGTATTTATTTTTTCTCAAATACTTAGAAAACTTATGACAGTGTTCCCACTATGAAATATTAGATGTTGGAAAGGAAAACCAAAATGCTAAATTTCTTGACAACCAAATAACTTCTGCATTAAATTTGACCCTCAACTTTGTCGCTAGAAAGTGCAATGATATTTGCGCAAATTGAAAACAACAATAAGTCATAATGCTTTAAGGTCAGCCACATTGATCTTTTATCATCATTAAGTTTTATAAAAGTAATATATTTAGTTAAATTATTTATAGTTATTTGGATAGATTCTCACCACAAATTTGTATGTATGAAGAACAGAATAGATAGAGAGGCCACAAGTAAATATAGCACACCTTAATTAAAAGCACAATAAAGGTAAGTTCAAAAAGATTAGGACCCTTCTGTGCTAACAAAGTTCTAAGCTTGTACCTTTCCTTGTTTGGTCTCTTTCCAGAGCGGCAACAACATTTTACCTATCATACGCTTCTTCGACTGACCCATATTATTTCTGTGTAGGTCTTTTCTGGACGGAATGAGGTTCCAATTTGGTTGATCCTTTGAAAGCAGCAAGTGAGCTATCACTTGGATCCTTCATGGTTTAGGTAATTCCAACTAAGTACATGATATATTGCATCTGACATGTCTCATATATATGCATTTACACGATCTTTTACTGTTAGTTCAACTTAATCATCATTGTAAGGCAAATATTTTTTTCGATCTTTAGTTCTACTGACTTTATCATTATCTTCTGGCATTCACATCAACATAAAATTTAGCAAGTAATACTAACCATTGCTAGTTCACAACTCAAGAGAGCAATTTCTACGTCATTTGCAAGAAAATATCATCCTTCCCTTAATTTTGTGCAATTCAATGCCTGTGTATTTCAGAAGATTTTGACTTCAAATAATTAATCTCCTGAAAACCGTTTCTAGTTGGCGGGAAGAAGACATCTTTTCCAGTCCGAAACATATGCATGTTAAATTCAAAGGTCTAGCAAATCTGACAGGAGCTGCTTTGAGGCCACTATACAAGTGAACATACATGTATTACTGCTAATAGCTCAAGAAGAATGTCAGGTGCTTGATTAAAAGGCCAGTAGAACAGGTCACGGCTTGCAATCAGCATTTACCAACACGCTATTTCATGAAGAAATTTCACGATTCTAAAATAGCAAAGGCAACAACAGGATACAATTGAATACAACACTCTATTAGAGCTTTACATTCTATCAAAAAGACCTATTTTTACCAAAACTCCACTAGCACGGAAGCTGAAGAAACCCTAAAGATTATATTTTCACTGAAGGGACAATATTTACAAAGAAATCACCCTCGTTCGACAAAGGTACAGATTATCCCCACTCTAATGTAAGCATCTGGAAATGGAGACCTACCTCAAGAAAGGGCGAAAGTTCAGCAAAGAGAAGAGACGACGAGAACGAGGTTAAAGGGGGGAATAGATCAAGCAGATGGGATTGCCCAAAGCAAAAGAAGAGGAATCATCAGAGGAAAAAGAGCTGTTATCTTACGGTGACGGGGGCGTCCACCCTTTGGACGTTGCTCTCCTCGACGAGGATTTCGATGGCCTTAAGGCACAGCGCCTTGACCTCCGACTCCTTCAGCGGCTCGCACCGCTTCAGCTGCTCGATCTGCCGGTCCAAATCCGACATCGCGGCCGCCCTCAGCCGCCCCACCCGATCTATCCCCAACCTCTCTCTCTCTCTCTCTTCTCTCTCTCTCTCTCTCTCTTCTCGAGCCCTCGGCGCCCGGCCTTCCAAAGTACTCTCGCTTTCCGGCACGCGAATCCCCTCTCTCTCTCTCT